CAATCTCAAAAATGCTTTTCTTAGTTACATATTTCAGGCACATCCATGGGCAGCCCTCCTTCTAAAATGGGAGATGCAATGCTTCTTGCCTGCCGAATTGTAGACTACGAATCAAGTTAATTAATATACACACCTTAGGGCATTCAACTCTGAAACAGACTCACAATTCAATGACCTGCAACTTTGAACTAAACCAACCAAAGAAGTTGGCTTAGTTCTAGGTTTCTCAACAGCAAGGTTTCTCAACAGACTGATTTATTGGGCCAGATGACTGTTTATTGTGAAGGGATGTCCTATAGAATGGTAGAATGTTGAGCAGATTCAAGGGCTTCTACCCACTAGATACAAGTAGCACCCCCTTTCTCTTGGTGAGGGCAACAGAAAAACGCCTTCAGGCATTGTAGAATGCCCCGGGGGAAGGGGAATTACCTCAGTTAAGAACCATGTAAGTGTCACCATTTTTTTTTTAAATACAAAACTTAGACCCAAGAGAAAACCAAATACATCAGCAGTTTCCAGGTTAGTCTCTGTGTTCCCAATAAATTGTTTTCCTAGCAATTTATTAGCCTACAACTGTCTTGGGATTTTATTGCTAAATTCTTTAATACACAAAACTCACTGTCCTCAGGTGCAAAGTAGTTAATAATTTCCCTGAAGTTCAAAGCCTAGTAAATACAGAGCTAAGACTTGCACACACACATATAGACTTTTCCCTTTATACTGTATTTCTGAATTGAAGCAGGAGTTCTGTATTTCCCTTCCCCAAAGTCATTAATTCTATTATAAACTAAGGTTATAATCTTAAAATCACAAATATATATATGGATGTTTGTTACACCCTTTATATGTTTAAAAATAGATAACCTGAATATCTAACAACAGGAAACTGGTAAAATAAACTATATGGATAAATATATTAATTTAATGCCTATTTAAAATAACCATATAGAGCAATATTTATCACCATATTAATACATTAACAATAATAGCTGAGAATAAATTATAAAACACACATGATTCAATTTTTTAAAAAGAAATTTGTATTCATATACATAATAATATACATATTATTTTACAAAACCTGATAACATTAACACAAAAAAAGACAATCATGAATCCGCATGGAAAGATTTCATTTTAGAGGACTTGTCTGTATTTTACTTACAACGAACATAGATGTCTTACACACAATTTTTAAATACTTCTATTAAAAAATTTATACACAAAAGTCATAAAGTAGTGAATCCCTTTAATAACAATGGTATAAAAGGACGGTGCTCAACATGTCAAAGTGGATTTACAGAGTTATGTTTCCATATTATCACTTGATCCATGATAGACCTGTGCCTGTTTGACATCAGAGTCCTACTGAACTAATCTGTCTCTTTCTGAGGAAACACTGTAATAATCTTTATTGAAAATTCTTTGCAGGGAATTCCCTGGAAGTCCAGTGGTTAAGACTGCACTCTCACTGCTGAGGGCCCAGAGTTCAACCACAGCTCAGGGAACTAAGATATCACAAGCAGCTTAGATGGCCAAAACAACAAAGGAACTCTGCAGCAGCTAACCTCCTCGTTAAACTCTTTCTTCTAAAACCAAGAGACAATACAACTTATTGAAGTGTAAAGAGATATGAAGAATTTGCAAATTATGGATGTTTAGACAAAGGATAAAAAGCGGTGCATTCGGGATTTTTTTTTTTTTTTAAACAAAATAACCCTCTCTTCCCTCTGTTTCTCAGACTTTATAAAGCTCCTATCTTGAAGGCCAAAACAGCAAATTCCAGTCACTCCTGCTCCTGCTCTGTATGAACTGGAACATAATAAGACACGTAATGCTTATTAGGTACAACGAGTTGACAGGCACAAAAAGGAATGTAAAAATAAATAAGACATACATACAGCCTAGGAGAGATAAGAATAGTATATAATAGTATATAATTTATACCTATTGTTTATGTACCGTGTTGTTCTTTTTCCAAACTACTAGGAAGCAATGTCAATTACTGGCAGAGAGATGAGTTACTAGTCACATGGCTGAGTGCAAATGAGCACATCTTCCCAATCTAAACTGTAATTCATTACGGCACACTGCTATTTGTGGCTTACATTTGTCTATGTGTGACATCTGGTCAAAAGGGGACACTCCAACCTTGATGGCCAATGTTACACATCCTAGGGAAGCCCAGAGCTTGCCTCCAGTTTACCTGGCTCACAGCTGTTTTTACTTGAGTCCAGATCTCTGGTAAGTCTCCAGGTACATTTATCCTCAGTCCTCATATCTTCAGCCTTAAGAAGCTTTGTAATAGCAAGGCAAGTAGGGTTAACATAATTTACTCCTTGTGTCATGATGCTAAGTGACTGAGTCTAAGAAGTGAATATGTCATTAGTAATGTGTACACGAGTACATTTGCAGCAAAGACTGTACTTTGATTTGCTCAACATAATACACATTTTGAGGACATGTCCAAATGTTTTTATAATCAACATGCATTATTCATGTACAAAGAACAAATAATTTTTAAAGTTCACATGACTTAACCCTGCTAAGGTCCCCTGGAAGACCAAATGGGAACCCACTCCAGTATTCTTGCCCGGAAAATCCCACGGACAGAGGAGCCTGCTGGGTTACAGTTTGTGGACCAAAAAGAGTCAGACACGATTTAGCAACTCGGCACACACACAGGCAACAGCCCACCTAGATAGTTCTCATAGTTCAAACCTAAAAGGAACTGTTTTCATTTTTTTTAAAGTGAAGAAAACAGAATAAATCTCACATAGCTGAAAATATACTAAGAATAATAAAGAAGCTAACTTTGAACATTAATATATGCCTGGGATCCTATGAACATTAATATATGCCTGGGATCCTAATAACTAAATCCTCACAACAATCCTATCTAACATACTTTCCTTATCCTCATTTTACAGTTTAGAAAACTGGGACACAAAACTAGGTAACCTACTCTCAAATCCCCATATTTATATATATATATATAAATATTTTTATATACACACACACACACACACACACACACACACACGCAGTGCAGAAATGGGCTCCAACCCAGGCTGATTCATTCTAAAGCCTGAGTTATAGATTATGCTATCCTTGTACCTTTGACCCCTGCTAAGGCAAAGGAGAAACAAACAGCTCAAACAATGGGAAAAAAAAAAAAAGAAAACACCCTAGAAACATAAAATAATTGATAAAAGGGGCAAAATCTGAAATAAAACTCTACACAGGAAAAAAGAAAAAAGCATTTGTTCAATGAAATGAATGAAATGGATAGGACTTAATCTCCCTCATTTCTGACAGGAAAATTATTGGTGGGTGGGGGGAGCAGCGTGCAAGAGGAACAACCAAACTAGCAATTTTACAGTGAAAATCTCCCTTATTTTTAGCAACGACGCTAAATATCTTGGCTAGAATCACTCTGCCATTCAAGTGAAGCAACAACATATATCCCTTTCCTTAACCAGCACGAAGGATCTAGCTCCAGCCGGGCAGAGCCTGGAAATACTTCGCTTAGAAATCTGAGCAGGGAATTCCCTGGTGGTCCAGTGCTTAGGACTCGCGCTTTGCACTGCCAAGGGTTAGCTGTGTGATCTGCAGGAAGTCACTTTTCCTTTCTAGGTCTCCATGACCTCAATCATATAGTCAGGGTTTAATAAACTAAATCAAGTTGCGGTCTGGGTTCTAGGACATCGTCAACTGGGAGAAAAGAAAACTTGCAAGCAGAACTTCGACAGAAAGGCTCGCGGATACATTTAAAAGATAACCAAGGGGTTCTCTGGCGAGGACGCACACTTGTCAGCGGCGGCCAGCCCTGACTGGAACGTGGCACGCACTACCTCCATCCAGACCCTGGGGACTCGGAGAGCAAGGTCAGGCCCAGCTTTCCGCAGCCTCTGAGGGCGGCTGCATGAACCCCTGCGTGAGCTGTAATCTAAGTCAGAATCCCGGGGTGCGTGGTGAAGGAACCACTGGGGTCAGGACAAAGCATCATTTCAGATCATAAGGAACCTAAAGCCAGGCCCCTCGCGTCACAGAAGGAGGCTCAGAGACTGCAAACGCCTCCCCCGCGCTACCCAGCAGAGAGCGGCGGAGACTATAGCTCCCGGCGCCGCGCTCCCTCCCAAGGAAGCCGCCGGGAGCTGAGGGGGCGCGGAGGCGCGCAGGGCCCGCGCGGGGCGAGCGCTGCCGCGGGGCGCCCCGGGGTTACCTGAGCCGGCCCCCGCCCCGGCGTGCAGCAGCCTGGCCTCCGAGCGCGGCACGGCGCCGCCCGGCTGGCGCCGCACCACCTGCCGCAGGAGCAGCCGCACGCGCCGCGCGGCCACAGGGCCGCCAGGCGGCCCGAGGAGCAGGAGCCGCGACTGCATGGGGGCCCGGGAGGCGTCGACAAGCGCCGGGACGGGAGGTCCGGGGTGAGCGGCGCTCCGGGACGGGCGGCGTGAGGCGGCACGACGAGACGGACAGGAAGCGGCGGCGCGCGGAGTCCGCCGGAAACTCCTTCCCCCGGCGCGCCCGGCTCGGCCGGCCCGGGCCGCCCTGGACCCGCTGGGGTGCTGGGCTCCGCCGCCCGGAGCCGCGCCCGGGGCCGGCGGGGAGGAGCACGCGCCGCCGGGTGACCCCGGGGCGCGCCTCGCCCTCACCTGCCGCGCGTCCCCGGACTCCCCGGACAGGCCTCCGGCGGCTCCAAGCCGTCCCGTCAGCGCTCGGGGCTTCAGGAGATGCTGAAGGGTGTGAGGAGCCTTTGATGGTGTCACTCTTTCTTGGTTAGTGGCCCGGTCTTCGTGTATTTCTTTTTCCCTGTGACCCCATGGACTGCAGCACGCCAGGCCTCCCTGTCCTTCGCCGTCTCCAGCAGCTTCCTCCAACTCACGTCCATTGAGTCAGTCGGTGATGCCAACCAACCGTCTCATCCTCTGTCGTCCCCTCTCCTCCTGCCCTCAATCTTTCCCAGCATCAGGGTCTTTTCTCATGAGCCGGCTCTTCGCATGAGGTGGCCAAAGTATTGGAGCTTCAACTTCAGCGTCAGTCCTTCCAATGAATATTCAAGGTTGATTCCTTTAGGATTGACTGGTCGGATCTCCTTGCAGTCCAAGGGACTCTCAAGAGTCTTCAACACCACCTTCAAAAGCATCAATTCTTCAGCCTTCTTTATGGTCCAACTGTCACATCCATACGTGACTACTGGCAAAACCATAGCTTTTCAGTACACTGCTTCAAACCCTTTCCAGAATTGCGTAAGTCTTCTGGAGATTGTGGGTACACCTATCTGGATTTGTTGTAACCATATCTGTATATTCAATCAGTACCTGAAAGCCTAATCCTTTTTTTTTTCTTCCCCTGCATGTTTTATTATCACACCTTAATAAATTCTAAGCAGAAAACTCACATCTTGGCGATACACTGGACAAAATGTCAGTAAGGACCAAATCAAACACTTTTTGAGTCATTCTCCCATGCAAGAGTTCAGTTCAGTTGCTCTGTCATGTCCGACTCTTTGCAACCCCATGGAGTGCAGCACACCAGGCCTCACTGTCCATCACCAGCTCCCGGAGCTTACTCAAACCCATGTCCATTGAGTCGGTGATGCCATCCAACCATGTCATCCTCTGTCGTCCCCTTTTCCTCCTGCCCTCAATCTTTCCCAGCATCAGGATCTTTTCAAATGAGTCAGCTCTTTACACCAGGTGGCCAAAGTATTGGAGTTTCAGCTTCAGCCTCAGTCCTTCCAATGAACGTTCAGGACTGATTTCCTTTAGGATGGACTGACTGGTGCAAGAGTTACATAAGTATAATCTATGTCTTTAGTAAGAGAAGAAAATAGGACACTGGCTAAGGCTGCCTCCTTGTCATCCATGCCAAAAGGGGAAGTGGTACTACCACAGAGCAAACTAACACTAATATAACTATACTACATCTCCAGAACATCAGGAGTGCATTGAGCAAGGCAAAATGTTTACATTGTCACACAAAATAAACATCAGACAAAAAGAATGCAGAAGACTTCACTTTGAGCTAAAGGCCTTGCTAATTCTAGAGCTGTTACCATCTTTAAATTACATTGAACACCTACTTTATGTGTGACACTGTGATGGGTGCTGAGAAGAAAGTGGGTAGGAGACTTTACAAGAAAAAAGCTGAGGAAACTTCCCTATGGGTCCAGTGGCTAAGAGTCTGAGCTCCCAATGCAGGGGGCCTGAGTTTGGTCCCTGGTGAGCGAACTGGATTCTACTTGCCACAACTAAGAGTTTGCATGCCCCAACTGAAGATTCCCCATGCCACAGTGAAGATCAAAGATCCTGCATGCGACAGCAAAGACCAGGTTCAGCCAAATAAATATTTTCTAATGAAAAAGGAAAGAAGCTGAGCTGGATGAGACTGTTCACTTTGCTGAGGACTGGACTTCATATGTTCAGGCTGAAACAGGCCTCTAACATAGTTGGGGAGACAGTGAAAATGAAGTAACTATGTTTGCATAGTGCATGACAACGTGGTTACACATGTATGTTCTCATACCAACTTCACAACAACCCTTCAGACTGCTAGAGGAGAATGACATAGATGTAGAATGTAACAGTGTATAAAATACTTCTCCCACTTTGAGTGCATCGTATATGTCAGCCATCGTGCTAAATATTTTAATGCATTATCTTATTTCATACAGCAACACTTTATTATTATCCCCCATTTTACAGATGAAGAAACTGAGGCTGGAAAAGTTAAGTACCTTGGTTGGGGCATCTCTATTTAATCTTGCTGGAATCCAGAAAATGCTTCAAACTACTGGAAGAATAATCTAAGGTAATTTAGCAATTTGATTGGTATAAGCAGAAAGAGTTCTTAGAGTTATCACACTGGGGAAATCAATACAAATTACAGTGTTCGTTCATTCAGCATCATTTACTCAGCAACTATTGCATAAACAGTATTCTGACAGGTTCTGTGTAGCAATGGGCTTACATCAAGTATAGAAGACAAACGTACAAATAAAAAATTACAACACAACGTTTAGGATATTTAGACTCAAAGTACTCTGGGGCAGAGTGCTTCCCCTGGCAGAGGTCAGGGAGATTTCAGAGGAGATACTGTTGGAAGAGGTTCTTAAAGGATATGCAAGAATCTTTCCAGCTGAGAAAAGGGCAGGTCATGTCTGGCAGAAGGAAGAACAGGTACAAAGGTACAAAAGCTGAAAATACGTGGCATGACTGAGAATCAGAAAGTGAGTCACTGTGTGTAGGGATCAAGTGCATAAAGTAGTTTGTAGATATGAGACCAGACAGAGAAACTGGGGCTGTGTTGTATGCGAGGGGAAAGAGTTTGCACACTAACCTCTGAGAAACTGAAAAATGGTAAAGACTTTGGAGTCACAGATCTGTAATCTGAGAAAGAGATTACTGAGCGGGAGAAAAGGGAGCATCTAAGCTTCATTTTGAAGGTTAGTTTAGATTTGGGTAAACAAAGAGTGGTAGACTGCAAGAGTAGAAGCCTAGACAAGCGTGATTAACTGATGCAGACAGTGAGACCAGCCAGGCGAGAGAGCCATGCAAAGTCTTTGAAGTGTGGGAAGGTATATTCAGACAGAAACATTATGAAGAACCTTGTTTGGCTAGATAATCTTAAATAAAGAGGTTGGACTTCACCTTATAGGCAAATGAGGTCAATACTCAATGACCCAACTGATCGTATTTGATCATATTTTAAGCAGTGACATGGACTGTGAATTGAGTAAGACAAGAAGCATCAAGTTCCAGCTATGTAGCAGTAAAAAAAAAAAACAAAATATCTACTTGAAAGGAGGAACCCCTACTGGTGGCTGTGAAGCTGAATGGGAGAGAGGAGACCTTGGGAATGTTTAATATGTAAGAGATGAACCAGAGCTGTTTCATTTTAAGAGATGTCCATCATAACCTCTAGGTAACTTCTCTCTCAAATTCTCACTAAAATAACTGGTACTCTTGATAAAACACACTGCCAACATCTGATATTTCCTGTTAAATATGTTCCAGAGTCTGGGAGGAATACTTCTTGCCTGCCACATTACTGTAATTGGACGAAAAGTGCAAATTAATCATCCATCCATGCTGTGTCCAATTAGAAAAAGGTCACTTTATCTCTCCTTACTGCCTGCCTGACTGAGAAATCAAGGGACCAACATCTGGTCCAGGAATCAGGGCTTCCCAGACGTTGGTATGACTCTCGATCATGTGAACAATTTGTTCAAATGTCCACTGTCAGTCTTCACTCCCTACCCCTACCCCGAGGCTCTGACCTAGCAGATCTGCAGGGGCTCAAGAAGATGCATATTCAGTCATAACCATAGGAGATCACCTACATGCTGTATGTATCAGCTATAAAGCTGGACAGCAGTTCTTTCTGTTACTCTTTTGCTAACAAGGCTGTCCCACCTCTTTATCCTCTTCAATACTTTGTAGAACAATTTGTAAGTGCTCTCCCTTCATCTGCAAGCAACTAGAATAAAAACTAAAATAAATACAATAAAAGCTGAGCAGGGAATTAGAGCAAAGAAGGAAAGAGAACAGCATGGCTCTTTTACATCATAAAATGTTTTTAGACTGGGACATTGGCAGGAAAAGAGCTGGGGGGTGGGGGGGGGAGTGATGATTAAAGTAAGAAAGATACACTAGCAGAAACTCATCCAATACAGTGAATTCCCTGGTGGTCCAATGGTTAGGACTCAGTGGTTTCACTGCCAGGGCCCAGGTTTGTTCCCTGGTTGGGATCCCCAATCCAAGTGTGACCCCCCAAAAAAAAACAAAAAGAAAAAAAGAATCTCTCCCACTACAAAACACGGAATAATGCTGGATAAAATATTTTAAAGTTTCACTAAACATGAATTTGTAAGCTTATGTGAAAGTAGGAGAAGTTCTGTAAAATTTTGGATATCAACAAAGAACAGGAAGGAGAACTAGAAGAAGTCTGGGCTGGAAGAATAGTCTGAGAGGGTAAGGACTCGGTGAAGGTGCTAGATGCTCTGGGAATATTTACTATCCCTGGTGCACGTAGCTATAGGGGAGTCGACAGGGCAGGGAGTAGATTGAAGACTCCATCGTAAAGCCAGGACTGGCAAAGGGCCACACAGTTAGCTAAATGACGGACTTATGAAAAAAAATTGCAAAGGGAGACAACAAGAAATCACAGCTGTCGTCTTGGATTCTAGGTAGAACTATTTTTTTCCCTTTAAGAATGGTGACTTCTACTTGAAACTCAGATGGGTTTAAGGCATGATACAGTATTTGCTTGTTATAAAGAAAAATTTTAAGGCAATAATTTAAAAGTGAGCTCAATAAGTGTATAGGATATTTGAGAAGCACAATCAACAAACTTTATTTTATGAATTACAAAAAAATAAAAAAGCATCAGTTGGAGAATGCATGTTATTCACAAGAACAAGTACAACATCGGAAATGGAGTTTATTAAAAGCCACAAAGAGGTGGGAGGAAGGCTCTCTCAAGCCTTCTAGGGAGTCTCAAGTGAGGATATATACATATATCCTCTTGGGAGAGGATGTATGTATACTTATGACTGATTCACATTATTGTAAAGCAGAAACAAACACAGCATTGTTAAGCAATTATCCTCCAATTAACTTTTTAAAAAGCCACAAAGCTAGTGGCAACAAAAATCAAAATATAGAGGACATTATTTTGATATTAATGCAATCAAGTGAGAAATAAATTTTAGGACAATTAAAATTACAGATATCCTTCTATATACTCATGAGTCAAAGAAAAAAAATTAGAAAACACTTGGAACTGAACATTAATGAAAATACCTGCTAATAAATAGTGCAAAGTGGACCTAAAGCCAAACTATGTACAGAGTCTAAAAATTAGTAGGTTAGGGACTTTCCTGGCGGTCCAGTGCAGGGACTGCCTGCCAGTGCAGGGGACACCAGTTCGGTCCTTGGGCTGGGAAGCTCCTTCACACCACAGGGCAGCTAAACACATGCAGCACAGCTGCTGAGCCCACGGGCCCTGGAACCTCTGCTCCGAAGCAGGAGAAGCAGAGCAGTGAGAAGCCCACGTACCACAGCGAAGAGTAGCCCTCAAACATCAAGAAAGCCCTGGCACAGCAACAAAGACCCAGCTTAGCCGTAAATAAATGAAATCCCTTTTAAAAAATTAATAGGCTAATCTGTCAACAAGTTTAAAAAAATAATAGATTAAATCCAAAGGAGGTTGAAAAAGGGAATAATAAAGACATAAACAAAAACTAATGAAGTGAAAAACAAAGAGGAAAATGACAAAAAGTGGTCATATGTAAACACCAATTTTTATGGCAGAAATAAAATGAAATCAA